ATATATATATATAATCTTTCATTGTTGCACAATTTCCTCCCCTCCCTTTTAATAATGCCACTTCCTTAGGAGGAATGAACATGACTTTTAATTAGTATTCCAGATATCTTTATCATTTATCTTCAACCTTATTTACTTTTGCTTGTCCTATTCTTTTTTTAAATTTACTTTTCTTTATTAAACCCCCTCCCAGTGGTTTGAAAAGGAGTCATGTTGATATAGAGGTTAGGGAAAAAGCCTGGCTGGTCAAATCCACCTGAGACTCCTGTTCAGGAAGTCCTCAGGGGACAGTTTTTATGAGCTGGAATCGACTTAACAGTAGTGGGTTTGGGGCTTTTTGGTAGTAGTTTGGAAGTTTCCAGAAATGGGCTAAGAGTAAAACTCTGTTCCAAGGGAGAAGGAGCTGTATCCTGACTCATTACTTGAAACCAGATCTGAGGTGTCGCTCTCCTACTCAATGAACTGACCTGCTGCTAACTGCAAATTAATGGAAACAATCCTTATTTTTTCTTTTTTTAAACTTGTAACCAGAGCTACAAATTAATGGTAACTATTGCTTTAGGGGACAGGTGAACAAAACAAAAACCAACTGACTGCTGTCAAGTTGATTCCTGTTCACAGTGACCTTATAAGTAGGGCAGAGTTTAACCATTCCACAGGGTTTCTGGATCTCCATTCTTTATAAAAGTAGACTGCCACATCTTTCTCCTATGTATCAATTGGCAGACTTAAACCACCAATCTTTCAATTAGCAACCAAGCATTAACCACTAAATCTCCAGGGTTCTTTAGGGTGAAAAAGAGGTGAGCAATTGGGACAAAGGAGTCACGATGGATATTGTATTCTTTTGTATATTATAATCTGCACAAATGAAGCCTCTGGGTGCAGGCAACAATGCACTATGAATTCACTCTAGATAAAATTAAGCCAGAAGAACAAAAAAGAACTTTAAAATGAAATGTTCCTACAGATGAATAAGAAATTGTGAAATAAGTTAGAAACTCAATTAGAAATCTTAGAAATAAAAAAAATACAGAAATGGAAATAAGAATGTACTAAAAGGAACAGGCTGAGGTAAGTGACTATATAATGAGCTAAACTAGAAAATAGTACTAAGGGATTTGCCTTGATAAATGTTAAATATATACAATTTTGTAACAATAACAACATAAAAATGCATGTGACATTGCACAGGAAGATAAGGTGTGCATATATGTGTACAGGAAGTAAAACATGTGTGTGTATTTATCTGTATGCTGCTACAGAGAAAAAGCTGTCAGAGAGAATGAAGGAGATATCTTAAAGCCAAAATATGATCCAATGAGGAATCATGGAGACCTCAAAAAAATGAAACCATAAATTCAAGGGAGAAGGCATGAATCACCTATAGTTACAGGGCTGCACAAAGAACTACAAAATAGAATATTCTGATAGTTTTGCAGTGATTGAGGTTACTCAAAGATAAGATAAAGACAATTTTTTATCATCAATGGTTATATCAGTACAGATGGAATACATTGACTAGTTAAAAGACATAATTATAAGAACATGGAGAGGTCTCACAACTGATCACAAAAAATTATATCATGAGTTTAAATCCTCCAGATGCTCTGCTGGAGGAGGGACGATCTCCTTCTGTGCCAGTCGGATCTGACTTGAAGGGCACAAAAACAACAACAACAACAAGACATCATGATGGATATTTTGGGGAATAGGAAGTTAAAAATAACCTCAACCAGAAATCTGAAACTTAAGAATTTTGTGAAGTATTTGTTACAGACTCCATGATGTACCGTAGACACTTTCTTAAACTGACTACAAAGTAAAACATTTAATGATAGACCTGGTTCCTAAGTAACAGGATTTAAATCTGTGTGGAGGGTTATGTGTAAACTTAGCATTAGTTCAGCCATTTTCCCTTAAGTCAGATGCCTCTTTTGATTTTATGTGCCACATCAAAGTACAGTGTATCTGAAGGCACAAGTATGTGTCTTTGTATGTGCTGCACAAATGTTCTTTTATATATTTATATAAAATAAACCACACAGAGGATGCAATTACAGATATTTCTTAGACTTAACTGAATACCTTGTGGGATTGGTTTACTAGTAGGTTTGAAGGCTTAGGACTACAGTGTTTGTGGAATAGCATCACGTAGGTCGTAAAGTTTATGTTCTACACTCTAGTTTGGTGAGTGGCAAGTCAAAATTTACCCTAAATCAAACAGGACAAGGTAAGTAGGGTAAGAAAAGCTACAGTATTAAGTCTTAAAAACTTGTAAGTGGCCATCTAAGGTTCACATGTTGCTCTCTACTTATCTGGAACAAATGAAAAAGAAAATTGAAGACTCTAAGAAGAAATCAGGCTACAGACCCAGTAGTCACACAGACTGAGCCAGAAGAACTTGATGGTGCCCGGCCAAAACCAGTACTGACCAGGGACACAGTTGTTGTTGTTGTTGTTATTTACCACAGAGTCGGATACAACCCATAGCTCACCCTTCCGTGGGTTTCCAGAGACTGTTAATTGCACAGGAGAAGATTGCCCATCCTTCGCCTCAAACTGCCTTCAGGGTTGCAGTGCAACTTCTTGCCACTAGGCCACCCAAGCTCTTTAGGGACACTGTTCTTTTGGGAGTCCACAAAATTTGGAAAATACTGCCCATAATATCTTTAAATTTAAACATGAAACTATGCCTGAAAGTCATCTGTCAATTAAATAACATATTGGCTCATAAACTAATACCATCACCTTTCAAAGGTATACTATATTGTCCATTGTTATACCTTTTAAAAACAATTACCTACATGAGACAGTAAAAATTTACCCTAAATCATAGATGAAAAGATAAGCAGAGGCAGGGAAAACAGACCAATGGAAACATAAAAACAGAAATACTGATAACATTGGTATGGAATGTAATCAATGCAACTGAAGAAAAATATATAGAAGTTGTTACATGTGCTACATAGAGATCAAATGACGTGTTCCATTAAGCAAAGTTCCTACCAAGGATTTCTTTAAATGTCTTTAAACATCATTGATGTCACTGAGGACTAAGCCTGACCAAAGCCAAAGTATTTTCCATAGTTTCATATGTAAGTGAAACTGGACTATGTAGAAGAAAGACCAAAGGAGAACTGAATCATGGTGTTGGCAAGAATATTGACTATATCATGGGCTGCTAAAAGGACAAATGAATATGTGTTAGAAGAAATGCAAACAGAATGCTCCTTGGCAGTGAGGATGGAGACACTTCCTCACACACGCTGTTAACCTGTTATTGGGAGGCCAGTCCCAGGAGAAGTGCAGGAATGGCCTCAGTACAGTGGACTAGAAGCACAGCGGGGCCTGGGCAGTGTTTCACTCTCCTGTACGTGGGGGTTATTATGACCAAGAACACAAGAAAGTATTTCTAAAGAGATGGTTTCCATTCAAAATTGTTCTCTCCAAAGAAAATAATCACCAAGAAGTTCAAACTGTTGAAGCTGGATTTAGTGAATCCTCCAGTGAAAAAATTTCAGATTTCCCTCTGTTCTGATGATACAAGAGCCAAACGTCTGTCTATGATCCCCGTGACCAGGATATAAGGATGTCTAAACATTCTTCCCACTGCTGATGTGAGTGATGTAGTGATGGACACAGACAAGTAAATAAAACCAGGGTTCAGAGAGAGGTAATAACCAGCAGTGGTAATTTGACAAAGAAAGTCATAGTGGAGAAAAGTCTTTGCAGCCTTACTGTGAAGATAATGCAGAATCATAATAAATATAAAGTTGAGATGAGAGGTTCTGCTATCACAGGACCAATGGCAAGGGATTGTGTGGACTTGGGGCCCAGTACTGTGTCCAGTGCTAGGAGCACTGCATGATTTGCCAGAATTTTTCTTTAAAAACAAACGAAAAAACAGCACTCTACTGAAAATTATTTGCTAAAAATATTTCTTTAAAAAAGGTGCTGAACCTACAGCCAGGAGAGAACAAAATAGATGAATGAAATTTTCTAAGAATCAAATCCCTATGCACATCAAAAAACTTCTCCAACAGGTTAAAAAGGAAACCCACAGACAGAAAAATTTATTTGATAATGACATATCTGTTACGGGACTAATGTCTAAAATTTATAGAATACTCCAGCACCTCAACAAAAGAAGGTAAATAACTCAATCACAAAATGGCCATTGGATTTGAATAAACAATTCACCGAAGAAGAAATTCAGATGGCAAACAAACACATGAAGAAATGTTTAAAATCCGTAGCTATCAGAGAGATACAAATGAAAACAAATATGAGATATAATCTCGTCCCAGCAATGATAGGAAAGTTCAACAGAGCAGCAAACAATAAATTCAGATGAGATTGTGGAGAGATTAGAATCATTATTCACTGCTGGTGGGAGTGTAAAATGGTACAACCACTATGGAAGGCAGTTTAGCACTTTCTCAAAAAATTGGAAATAGAAATACCATTTAACCCACCAATGCCACTACTATATTTAGGGAATATTCCCTAAAGAAACCAGAACCATCATCCAAACAGATATATGCACATCCATGTTTATTGCTGCATTATTTAGAATAGCAAAGAAATGGAAGCAACCCAAGTGCCCAACAACAAACAAATGAATAGAAAAATTATAGTATATTCATACAATGGATACTGCACAGCACTGAAAAATAAGGAACTCATAAGACATTATACAACCTGGGTGAGTCTGCAGAACATTATGTTGAGTGAAATATTCACAAAAGGACAAATACTGCATAGCATCATTGTTATAAAGCAAGTCTGACATGGAGGGTTGGTAGGAGAAGAGTGTAAGAGAGGATAGGTAATGAACATTTCCCTGGAACAGATGAAGGAAAGAACTGTTTAAAAGGAATATATTATTTGGCATTACACATATGACAACACCCAGAATAAAGAGGTACTTTACAATGTATGAATATTTTTTAAATAAAGTGAACTGGGGGAGGGGGCATGGAAGGAGAGGAGGGTGAAAAAAAGAAAGTAATATTAAAAGTAATAAAGCCATTTTTTTTAAAAAAAGGTGCTTGAGTAAGAGGTAAATAAAGACATTTACACCCCAACACTTAAAATGAAATTATAAAACGTCAAAAGAAAAACACAAAAGCTATCAGTTAAAAACAGAATAACAATTAGACTGACAGTAGACTGCTCGTATACAACAATAGATTCCAAACACAATAGAGATTTATCTATGTAGCTTGACTTTTACATTTCAGGTAAGCTATTTTTTTTTTTGTTGTTGTTGTTTTCAAAGGATTATAGTCTTGAATAGTCTATGAAGTAATTCTACTCTGCTCATGTCTAGAGTAGGAATTAAATAAAAAAAGATAAGCTGTGGTATATTCACACAATGGAATACTATGCTGCATTGAAAAACAAGGAACTCATGCAATATTATTCAAAATGGGTGACCCTGAAGGACATTATGCTGAGTGAAATATTTCAGCCACAAAAGGACAAATAATGCATAGTGCCAATGTTGTAAAACAGGACTGGCCTTAGGGTTTGGGGGAGACTGAGAAAGATGGGTTCAATAATGTATACTGCATTGAAACAAATGAGGGAGAAAACTATTTAAAAGTGATATGTGATTAAGTATTATTGTTATGACAGGAGTCCAGAACCAAGGATGCATGGTGGAGAAAAGTGCAACAATGAATGAATGAAAATCCAAAGTCTCTGTAAATTTTCATTCAAATTAATAAAAAAAATCAGAAAAATATTTTACACAAATTATACCTCAGCAAAGAGCAGTATCTGTAAAGAAACCCCCAAACCCAACATTTTAGCATGTTAAGAAGTAGATTATATAAATAATAAAATAATATTAATCACCCAGTGATTCTCATTGCCCTCAAGTTGGAACCAGTTTATACTGACCCTCCCTTGAGTTTCTGAGGCTGTAAATTGCACAGGAGGAGACTGCCTAGTTTTCCCCCACAGAGCAGCTGGTGGATTCCAACCTCCAATGAAGCAAAGACTTTAGGTTAGCATTCAACTATGTATAGACTATGCCACCAGAGGAACTAACCCGTCTTATTCTCACTGATAAATCTCACCCGTGGATTTTCAGAGGCAGTTAATTGCATGGGTGATTGTCTATGTTTCTCTAGTGGAGCAGCTGGTGGATTCGAACTGTGTGCCTGTTGGGTTGCGGAGCAGCTTCTTACCCCTAGGCCACCAGATTTCCCTTTAATAGTTATAATGAGTATAAGTTCATTCATTTGCATGCTGTCAGATTTACATTTAGTAGACTGTTTAATAATACGCCATTTTCACTACTGAACACTTATTTGTATTTATAATTATGCTCTTTTTCTATTTCAGAATGAAGAAATAGCACGACGTTTCATCTGGGAGAAGAATCTAAAGTTTGTCATGCTTCACAATCTAGAGCATTCCATGGGAATGCATTCATATGATGTAGGCATGAACCACCTGGGAGACATGGTAGGTAAATTATTAATAACCCTACTCTCATGCCTGGTTAATTATGATCTCTGTCTTACTCCAAATCATTTTCATGTTATAAACAACAATAAAGTTACATGCATTCAAAGTTAGAAAACAGGAGACTTCAGGGCATATGAATTTGCAGAGATGCCCTTTTCAGTCTTATTTTGTCCACTCTCCTTAAAAAATTCCTCCTCTAGAGGAATATTTTCAATTCACAGAATACTCTGGGTTTTCTTTTTTATGACTCCTAGAAAGCACTGCCCAAAGACTACTTATGCACACTCCTTTTTTTTTCTGTTTTAATAGTAAGTCACCACTGTATCATCAGGACTCCTTTAGAGTAAGAAATACTGCACTTCTTTCATTACACATTTGTTTTCTCCTATGTCGTTGTTGCTATTATGTGCCATTGAGTTGCCTGCGACTCATATGTACAACAGCTCTGAAGCCTGCCCTGTCCTAAGCCAGTCTCATTGACTCCAACACACCTACCCCCATTGTCCTAGTTACTGTATCAATCCTTCTTATCGGGGTCTTCCTCTCCTATGCTGTTCCTCCACCCTTCCAAGCATGATACCCTTCTCCAAGGATTGATCCCTCCTGGCCACATGCCCAAAGTATGTGAGATGGAGCTTCAGAATTCTAGTCTCCAAGTAAAAACTTGGTTTCACCATCTCTAGGATCAGACCTATTCTTCTGGAGATCCATGATATATTCAATACTCTTCTCCACACCACAGTTCAAAGGCATCAATTCTTCTTCTGTCATCCTTAGTCATTGTCCAGTTCTCTGATGTAATTGTGAAGACTGTGGCCTGGATTAGGCATACCTTAGTCTCCAGACTGACATCATTGTATATTCTTTGCCAATACCACAATTCAAAGGCATTAATGCTTCTTTGGGGAGCTTTGGTGGCCAGTCCCTTCTCTTAAATCACAAGTCCTTGTGACTGACAGTCTCGAAAACCAGGTGGAGGGTCACTGAGTCAGAACTGGCTTGGTGGCACTGAGTGTTGATGCTTCTTTAGTCTTCTTTCTGAAGCCAGACTCTGCTTCCAATCTCAGTTCTTCCCTTTACTAAATAAGAATAATGAAGTAAAGAGACAAACAATATATAAGGAGGAAATTTTTAGGGAAAGAAAGGTACAGCTGCTGTCCAGTGGGAGGACATGGGGGGCAGAGAGCAACTCGAGCCTATCTTCTTATTCAAAGGAGGAAGTGATTTTTATTTTTTTTTTTAACTTCTGAGGGTAAGGAAAAGATAGCATGTTTATTCATGAGGAAATAGGGTTTTCCCCCAGAGTTAACTTCTCAAATGAGAAAGATTTTCATATTTATTTATAAAGGAGTTGGAGATGATGTGGCACTGGCTTATGTGAAAGCGAGTTGTTGTTATTGTTAGCTATCTTGAGTTGAGTTGACCATGACCGATAAGGACCCTGTGCACAGCAGATCCGTACTTGGCTCTGTCGTGTGCCAGCCTCACCATTTCCAATATACTTGAGCCTGTTGCTACACTGTGTCAGTTCATCTTGGTTTTTGTGTGTTGTGATTTGTTTGGATTTTTTAAAAATTTTTGTGTCAATTTGTCTTGCTGAGAGTTTTCCTCTCTTTTGATGACCCTTCACCTTACCAAGCATGATGTCTTTTTCCAAGGACTGGTCCCTAACAATATGCCCAAAGTACATGAGATGAAGTTTCACTGTCTTTGCCTCTAACGAGCACACTGGTTGCACTTCCTCCAAAACAGACTTCTTTGCTCTCTTGGCAGTCCGTAGAATAGTCAGTATTCTTCTCCAGCACTGCAGTTCAAAGGCACTGATTGTTCTTCTGCCATACTTACATAATTATCCAATTTTCACCAGGAAGCAGCTGAAAGTACTATGATTACGACCAGCCTTAGACTTTAAACTGACATCATTGCTCCGAAGTGCTTGGAAGCGTCCTTAACAGCAGAGTTTAAAACAGTTAAAGTTTTCCTTCCTATTCATTGAAAATGTCATCTTTGCTACAAGATCAGAAGGTTTTATGTTAACTGAAAAGAGTGGCATTTAGCTGTAGATTGTACATTAGAGAGACAAACCATAACAGTGAAATGGACTTAATAAGGTTTTCTTCAAAATTGTTCTTAAAGGTTAAAAAAAGCTCTTCTCCTTTTCAAAATATTTATTATTAAAGAAATGTTATTTTTCATTGCTTTTATGTCAGTTGCACTTTTTCAGTGTTCATCTTTCACAAGTTTACAAGGCGACTGAAAATACAGTGCCTTAAGTAAGGTACACCTTAGTCCTCAAAGTGACATTATTTCTCACTAACATTTTAAAGAGGCCCTTTGCAGCATATTTGCCCCTTAAAAATATATTGTGGAGTGGTTTTTGTTTTTTTCTTTCAATTCATTTTTTTGCAAATATATTGTTTTATTGGATGCTTCTTCCATGGAAATTGTGGATCCAAATGAAATTAAATAGTTGAAAACTTTAGTCTTATCTCTGTATTTATCCTGATTTTTCTTATTGCTTGTTGTGAAGATTTTTGCTTTCTTTGTGATATATAATCTGTATTGAAGGCTATATATATATATATATATATATATATATATATATATATATATATGATCTTTGATCATCTTCAGTAAGTGCTTTAACTCTTCATCACTTTCAGTCAGCAAGTTATGTCATCTACATAATACAGTTTGTAATGAGTCTTCTTCCAATTCTGATACCCCATAATTCTTCACTAGTCTAGTTTTTCAGATTATTTTATAAACATACAGATTGTTTCAATATGATAAAAAGATACAACACTGATGCACACCTTTCCTGATTTTAAACCAGGTATGAATGACTGCTCTAGAGAGAGATGTTCATGTACAGGTTCCACACGAGCTCAATTAAGTGTCCAGAACTCTCATTCATCTCAGTGTTACCCAGAATATGCTATGATCCACCAGTGGAATACCTTTACATAGTCAATAAAACAAAGGCAAACATCTTTCTGGTATTCTCTGCTTTTGGCCAAGATCCATCTGATACCCCTCATTCTGTATCCTCTTATGAATCTGGCTTAAATTGTTGTCAAGGTTCTCCTCTAGTAGTTCTCAACCATCATCAGCAAGATTTTACGTGTGTGATATTAATGATATTATCCCATGATTTCTGCATTCTTTTGGGTCAACTTTCTTTGAAATAGACTTCGAAATGGAGCTCTCCAAGTTAGTTGGACAGCGAGATGCCTTCCAATTTTCTTATTACAGATGAGAAAGCCATTTGTATCCATTTGTTGAAATGCTTCAGTTAGTATTCTATCCCTTTGTGGAGCCTTGTTTCTCACCAATGAGTGCAGTTTGGACTTTTCCCGTTAGTACCGTTGGCTCCTGGTTATGTGCTACTCTTTGAAATGGTAGTGATCAATTCTTTTTAGCACAGTGATTCTGTATACCTCCCATCTTATGTCATTAACTATTTTGTCCATGGAATCCTCCACGATCGCAACTTGAGGTTTGCATTTGTTCTTCCTTCAGCTTAAAAAATGCTGCAAAATCTTCCCTTTTGATTTTCTAATCCTAGGACTTAGCATATTTCATTACAATACTTTGCTCTATCTTTTCTAGCTGCCCTTTGAAATCTTCTGTTCTACTTTCTTGAAGTAAAAGGGTTTGCTTTCGTTTCTCTACATTCTAAAGTAAGTTTCACAATCTTTTCTGGCATCTGTTTTAGTATTTTTTTTTCTTTTGTTTCTTTTTCATGATCTTTTGCTTTCTCTATGCAATATATTATTGCTGTCAGCCACAACTTGTCTGGTCTTCAGTTATTGGTGTTCAGTGCATCAAGTGTATTTGTGAGTTGGTTTTTAAATCCAGGTAGGATTGAATCGAGGTTATATTTTGGTTCTTGTGTACTTGTTTTCACTTTTCATCAGCTTTAATTTGAACTTGGACATGAACAACTGGTGATCCATACCCAGGTGGCCCCTGGCCTTGTTCTGACAGGTGATACTGAGTTTCTCTACTATTTCTAGAGGGCTCTGGTGGCCTAGTGAATAAGGAGTTGTTCTGCCAACTCCAAGGTGCTTTGAATTCACTGGGTGCTCCACAGGACAAAGAAGTGCAATCTCCTTCCATGTGATTTACAGTCTCTGAAAACCTGAGGGTCTCCACTTGATGGCACATAACAATAACAACTATCTCCTTCCACACATGTAATCGATTTTATTCCTGTGTATTCCATCCAGCATTACATTTATGCACATTCACTTTCTATGTTACTGTTGTTTTAAAGGTATTTGCACGACTAAGTTGTTGATCATGCAGAAGTCTGTCATGTCATCTCCCGCCCTATTTCTATCACCAAAGTATATTTTCCAACTACCAATCTTTCTTGTTTCTAACTTTTACATTCCAATCACCATCTATTATTAATGTATCTTGATTGAATGTTTGAGTAATTTCTGACTGCAGATGTTGATAGACACTTTCAATTTCTTCATGTTTGGCTTTAGTGGTTGGTGCATAAATTTGATTAATCAGAGTATTAACAAATTTCCCTTGTAGGTGTATGGATATTATCCTATCACTGACAACACTGTATTTCAGTACAGATCTTGAAATGTTCTATTTGATAATAAATGTGACTTTATTCCTTTTCAGTATGTCATCCTGGAAAACAGACCATATAACTGGCTGGTGCAAAATTAATAATACTGGTCCCTCTCAGCTCACTAATGCAGATAGCAATCTCCTATGTTCCATTTAATTTTGACAATTCCCAATTTGCTTAGATTCGTATCTCACATATTCTACATTCCAATTATTACTGGATGTTTGTTGCTGTTTCTGTGTATTTTGAGTCATATCACATCAATAAAAAAGAAATGTCCTTTCTGTGGCTGAAAGCTGTACTCCATCTGCTTTGTTCAGATAGACTTGACTTTGAGGAGGCAGTTCCTTCCCAGTGGCCCTTTTAGTGCCTTCCCACCTGAAGGCTTAATCTTCCTCCACTATATGAGATAACAGTCCACTGATATTTCAGTGGCTTCTTATTTCAGAAGCACATGGCCAGTTCTGCTTCATACTCTGTCTTGGTCTGGAAACTTCAAAGAAACCTTTCCACTATAGGGGACCCTAACTGCTGTGTGAAATACCAATGGCCTTGCTCACAGCCAACAAAACCACCACTGGCACTCTAATGGACTGATAACACAAATAGTGGAGTGGCAGGAAATAGAGGCCTGCAAAACTGTTGTCTGTATTTTTTTTTTATTTTATCTTAAGTCTGAATTAAGAATATAGCCCACAGCCCATCTGCTTTTTAAATGAGGGAATGTGAGCACTTAATAATGAATGAGGGCATGTGAACACTTAGTTGTTGTTGTTACGTGCCATCGAGTCACTTGCGACTCATAGCGACCCTGTGTACAAGAGCTCTATACGTTCTTCTATCCTGTGCCAACCTAGCCATCTCAAATGCACTTACTCCCACCTCTCCAGTCACAGAACCGATCTATCTCATCAAAGGTCTTCCTCTCTTTCACCGCCCCTCCACTCTGCCAAACATGATGTCCCTCTCCAAGGACCAGTCCCTCCTTGCAACATGCCCAAAATATTTCAGACGAAGCTTCAGAATCCTTGACTCCAGGGAACATTCTGGCTTCACCCTCTCCAGGACGAACACTTAATAGTTTATATATATATATCCTTTGAATTATCATAATCTGCTCTATTCTACAAAAATTTTCCAAAGACAGTCCTTTTATAAAAATCTTCCATATTTTGAACCAAAAATCTTCCTTCTTGTAACTTTTAATGTTTACCATATTTTTTTTTCTCCTGCCCAACAACAGTGCCTAATTGGAGTGCTACTGCAAAATACAAGTCTAGAGAGATCAAGGACACTCACACATTAATAGTAGGTAGCAGCTACATTGATCATAACAACCATTGGTTTATCTCAGTTTTCTGTTATATCCCCAGGTAGTTATTAGAATATAAGAACAGAGATATTAAGTGAAACTGGTATGTATTTTCTTTGTAGACCAGCGAAGAAGTGGTGTCTCTGATGAGTTCCCTTACAATTCCCAGCCAGTGGCAGAGAAATGTCACTTACAAATTAAATCCTAATCAGAAATTGCCTGATTCTGTGGATTGGAGAGAGAAGGGGTGTGTTACTGAAGTAAAATACCAGGTGAGTATTACTATTACAGATCTCTTTACCCTAATTAGGACTCTTTTTTTTCCCCAACATGTTTAGTGGAGCTACACAATTCTGCAGAGAATCTCACAGTCCCTTGTGATATTTTGTAATTATGTTGTTATTCATATCATCCTCACTAAATCATATACTCCAAAATACAAATGGGCAGCTCTGGTGGCATGGTCTACAGGAAGTTGTGCTGTTAAGGCAAAACCACACATCTCTAGCAGTTTGAACCCACCACGGGCTTCTTAGGAGAAAGTTGACAATCTCCTATGAGATTTATCGCCTTGGAAATGAAGAGCTAGCTATGAGTTGGTTCTGACTTGAGCGCAATGCCTTTGAGTTTTAAATCTCCAAATATTGAATTTTATTTGTTAGAACACTAGTGGTTCTAGTTACATTAGACAAAAGCTGTACAGTAAGCTAGTAGTTTTTCAAGACCATTTTTGAGTGCCCATGTTATTCACTGACTGCACTGAATCCCCTACCAAGCCAGTTGCTTGAGAAGCCAGTGATGGGTGTGTACACCAGTCAGGAAGTTTCTCATCAATCTCAGTTATGGATTTCAGTGTTGAAAGATGAGGAAAAACCAGAACTAATGGTGGCCTGTAAATCCTTCCAGTCGGGTTAATTTATGGTTAAACAAAAACAAAAACAAAAATCCTAAATCCATTGCCAATCTTGATTCAATGACCTATAGGACAGAGCTCCATAGAGCTTCCCAGGCAGACTGCTACATCTTTTTCTGTCCAAGCAGCTGAGAAGTTTGAACCACTAACCTTTTGGTTAGCAGATGACCACTTAACCACTAAGCCATCAGGGCTCCTTCAATTCATGGTTTGGCTTACATTATTAAAGTAAGAAATACAAGCTTTTTTTTTTAAATCTGTAAACAGAGTCAACTTTACTAGTAATCAAAGAAGGACAAGTCAAAGAAAGATTACATATTTTTGCCCACTAAATTTGGTACATTTAAAAATGGTTTTTTTGTGTGTGATTTTTTTTTTAATAATTTTAATGAGCATTTACAGAGATTTTGGATTTCCATTCATTCATTGCAGCACTTCTCTCCCCGCCCATCCCTCCCCGCCTCACCAGTTCGCACCTCTCTTTCAAAAGTAAAAGAAACACTCTTTCGCTGGTACACAATCCCCACCCCACCCCCCCAAGTACATTCCACTATGCAACCTTAATTGTGGACTCCTGTGATAACCATAAGACCCTATCATACATCGTACCACCACGGAATGGTCTTAAACTATCTTTTAAAAAGTGGAAATAAGGTTGACGGAAAATAAACAATGTGTTTCATAAGAAAACAAAAAAGAAATAAAAGCTTTTAAAATCACTCTGTGTTTTTTTTCTATTTTAATTTTCCTTTCGTTTTCTCAAAAGGAAAATGAAAACAAGTACAAGAACTGTACACTAGTCAGGAATAACTAAAGAGAAGCACATGGCATTTAGAGGTCAGGGTAAGAGGGAAGATTCACAATGGTCTAACAGCTGCCCCAGCTCGTGCCAATAAAGTACAATTTAATCAAGAAACAAATGGTACTGCTAATCTCTTCATGTTTTCTGCCTACTTTTTTCCTTTCAACCAGTTTTAGGCTTCTTAACCTACCTTCTCTAAATAAAAAACTGAGAATACTCAATAAAATACACATTTCAAATACACGTGAGGTATTAAATGTAAATAGTATATGCTTTTCTCTAGCTATATGAATTTTAATGAAAATGTTTCATTTATTCAAAAGCAATTTTAAATGTTTTATTAGGAAGAGAGCAAGGTGGGAGGGAAAGCAATTGTGATGAGGCCCTGGAACTTCTGCTAACAAAAGCAGATTTGTGTTTTTCTATTTACACCTCTCTGTAAAATACCTCTTGATAAAAAAATTAGATTAGAGATGTTTCAAAAGTGCTAACCTAAGATAAAAACTCTCCTGTTGCAGCCTTCATTTGGCTGAAGGAAGGGTTCTTTAGGTTAAGGGACTCATCTGAGCACCTCTCAAAAATCACTTGACTCAAAAAAAAAATCAACCAAACAAACCCAAACCAAAATGTCAAACAACCACTTTATTACAGAAAACAAAAACCCACAAATATCACTTCACTACAGACCTCTATCTCCCTTACTTAAGGAAGTAGCTAGCTGTGATTTAGTACATGCTTAGTAAATTTTGTTTCTTTTTTTAAAATTTATTTTTTTACAAAGCTCACATACATTGTGTTTCATACAATCATTCTCATGCATTATATTTTATAAAATTAATCACCTTTGGACTCTGCCCATCATTATCCTGTCTATTCACCTAAATCCCTCCCATTTCCTTCCCTCCTGCCTCCACCCACCAAACTGTACAACCCTGTGGCTTTACCCCTACCCATCATAAGTCTTACTGTATTTTAATATGGCAATTATGTTTTGAGCTCAGCTCTTTATAAATCTTTACCACATTTCAACCTTACACAGAGAACAGACAACTATTTCTTCATTTCTATTGTCTAAGGGTGGAGGAAATTGTAGTGATAAAGCTTTTTCTGGGAACTACTTATGGGGCTGGCCATGCTGGGAGTTGCCCTTCTGTGGAAGGGCTTCCTTACAGACTTCTGGTGGTTAACCTTATACCTTTGCCTCTGTTCCAGGGTTCCTGTGGTTCTTGCTGGGCTTTCAGTGCTGTGGGGGCCCTGGAAGCACAGCTGAAGCTTAAAACAGGAAAGCTGCTCTCTCTTAGTGCACAGAACCTGGTGGATTGTTCAAGTGAAAAATACGGGAATAAAGGCTGCAATGGTGGCTTCATGACAGAGGCGTTCCAGTACATCATTGACAACAATGGCATTGATTCAGATGCTTCCTATCCCTACAAAGCCATAGTATGTAACAAGTAAATTTTTTTCCCATTTGTGTAAGTATAATTTTATTAGAACACAGCCATGAAGATTCAATTATTATGCTTTCTTATTACAACGGCAGAGTTGACTGGTTGTTGCAGATACTTACAGGTTTCTCTTGGTTTTCAATGGCTAAAATATTTACTGTTTGTACTGTTACAGAAAAGGTTTGCCAATCCATTAGTCTAGAAATATGTAACCAATACAGTAACTTCTAGTCAGATAAAATCAGAAAACTTCCTGCCCTTGAGTAAGTTTCCACTTAGTGTTTGAAGGTGTAAATATTTTTTCAATTACTTATTTTTTTTAATTTTTATATTGGTTTTCTCACATTGTGTTTCATACTATTCTTCATTCGCATTGTGTTTTATACAATCATTCCCATGCATTATGTTTTATAAAATCAATCACCATTGGACCTTGTCCATCATTACCCAATCTATTCAAGTCTGCAACCACAGGGTTGCACGGTTTGGTGGGGGAAGAGAGTGAGTGAAGGAAATGGGAAGGATCCGGCTAGAACAAATAATATTTTTGTGCTGCCCCATGCCATCATGCTATTAATTTACTACAGTTGCTTAAGAAGTAGTATGTCTCAGAGAATCCTAATTCTCGGCTTCTCTTTCTTAATGTTGTAAACTTACTTGCAGTGTCAAGATGTATTTATACAAGCAAATAGAATTCAACAGATTTTAAGTAAGCTTTCTTTAACATTTTTCCTATGTAAGTGCCTGAAATGTAAACTTTTTTTATCCTGTGGTCTCCCATGCTTGCATGCCCATATTTTCAAGTCATTAATAAGTCTATCTACTGTTGTTGTTGCTATGTGCCATCGAGTGGCCTGCGACTCATATCATCCTATGTACAACAGCTCTGAACCCTGCCCTCATCATCTCTGACAGACACAATCCACTTCTCCAGTCACTGAGTCAATCCATCTCATCCTGGGTCTTCCTCTTCTATGCTGTCCTTCTAACCTTCCAAACATGACTAATTCCTCCTGGCCATGTGCACAAAGTCTGTGAAATGGAGCTTCAAAATACTTGCCGCCGGGGAGCAGCTTGATTTCACCCTCTCAAGGACTGACCTATTTATTCTCCTGGCAGTCTACAGTATGTGCAACACTCTTCTCCAGCACCACAACTCAAAGGCATTGATTCTTCTTTGATCATCCTTAGTTACTGGTCAGCTCTCTGAGGCATAGCAAGTAATTGCAATGACCGTGGCCTGGAACAGGTGCACCTTAGTCTCTAGATTGGCATTGTTGCTCTTCAGTAATCCAGAGAGGTCCCTGACAGCAGACTTTCTCAATGCAATCCATCTTTTGATTTCCTGACTGCTGGTGTCAAGAGTGTTGATTGTGGAACCAAGCAAGCTGAAGCTGTTAACAATCTCAATCTCCTCTTTATCTATCATGAAGGTGCCAGTTGGCCCAGTCATGAGAATCTTTGTTTTCTTGATGTTGAGATGTCTTTGACATATGCCTCATATCCTCCTCAGTTTCAGCAGGCAAGATTGTCATCTGCATAACACAGGTTGCTGATGAGTCTTCCTCCAATCCTGATACCACATTACTCCTCATAAAGACTAGCCTATCTAAAGATCTATTCTGCATATAGATTGAAAAGGTATAGAGATAGGATGCATCCTTTATGCACACCTTTCCTGATCCTGAACCATGCAATGTTTCCCTGCTCTGTTCTGACTACTGCTTCTTGGTCCAAGTGTATGTTTCACATGAGCACAATCAAGTGTTGTGGGATTCGCACTCTTCTCAAATTTAGTGACAGTTTATTGTGATTCTCACAGTGAAATAATGCCTTTGCATAGTCAATGAAACACAGATAGACATTCTTTTGGTACACTCTGCTTTCAACCAAGATCCATCTAACATTGACTATGATATCCCTAGTGCCACAGCCTCTTCTAAACCCAGCTTGCTCTTCTGGCAGTTTTCTCCCAAGATGTACTGTTCCAGGTGTTTTTGGATAATCTTCAGCATGATCTTGCTTGCATGTGATATTAGTGATAGTGTTTGAAAATTTCAACACTCTGTCAGGTGAAATGGGAATAAATATGGATCTCTTCCAGTCAGTTAGCCATGTAGTTGTCCTCCAGATTTCTTGGCATAATCCAGTGAGTACGTTCAGGACAACATCTGTTTGCTGAAATATGTCAATTGGTATTCCATCAATTCCCGAGGCCTTGTTTTTTGCCAATTCCTTCACAGCAGCTTGAACTTCTTCCTTCATCATCATCCTCTTGATCCTATGTTGTTTTATGAAATTCTTCTGTGTCAGCCAATTCTTAAGGAGCCAGATTATATTCTCTTCTTCCTCATGACTTCATTATGCATTTGTGTTTTTTTTTTAAATAATGCTTCAGAAAGCTGGCAATGACTAAGGGTGATAGAAGAAGAATTGATGCCTTTGGGTTGTGTTGCTGGAGAAGAGTCTTAAACATGCCATGGAACGCTAAGAAAACAAATAGGTCTGTCTTGGAGATAGTGAAACCAAGTTTCTCCTTGGAAGCTGGGATTTTGAAGCTCCTTCTCACATACTTATGGCACATGGCTAAGAGGGATGAGTTTTTGGACTAGTAGAAAGACAGTGCAGGAGAGGAAGACCCCAGATGACATGGATTGATACAGTAACTGGGGTAATGTGTTTATAATGATATGTGATCTCTATGTAGTTTTACTTTACAATCCCCTGAGAGCATAAGGGACATCTTTCTGACAACTTTTGCATGTACAAAGATGTTCACAGTGTAAAACAATTGTTTAGTTCTTCTTTTATTGATAAGACATGGAACCATTATGGTCTGAATCTTTCAATTTTTCTTTCTTAAGATAAAGAGACATCTCTTGCATGTACTATTGTCGAAGTTTTCTAACTGGTATCCCTTATTCTCAAATTGATCTTTCATAATGCTGCCAAAATAGCTAGTTTTTAATATATAAGTGTACATTTAAACAGTAAGAAAAGGCTAAAAAAGCCTTGAAAGACTAGATAGGAAGCTTAGGGAGCAGTAACTTTATGTTAATGGGGGAAGAACAACTTAGAAAAGGAGAGCAGGTTCACAACTCAAAGAATACAGTCAGTATGACTTGAACGTACATGTAGAAGCTGTTGTAGGTTTTGCTATGTGTATTCTTAAGAATGACATTGTTGTTTTGCAGTGTCGAGTAGGAACTGACCCATAGCTGACCCTCCAGTGAGTTTTCAGAGACAGTTAATCAATCAATCACGTGGGAGGAGATGGCCCATCAGTAAGCAAAAGAATTTTTAAAGACTAAAATGAGGCAAGAAAACACATTTAAATCCAGAATACTTAGGCTACTGAAAATTTATAAAGGAAATGGAAGTATATTTCTTAATTATTATCTTTCTCTTTGCAGGATGGAAAATGCCAGTATGATCCAAAAAATCGAGCTGCCACATGTTCAAAGTACACTGAGCTTCCCTATGGCAGTGAGGATGCCATGAAAGAAGCTGTGGCCAACAAAGGACCTGTATCTGTTGGTATAGATGCAAGTCGTCCTTCTTTCTTCCTCTACAAAAGTGGTAAAAATTCAGATTATCTTCTTGTCATATGCTGCCTTGCACTATAAAAAAGATCTTATCCATATACAAGTCTGAATATTTACATAGGTTAAATAGTATTCATCATTTCATATAAAGCTTTTTTTAAAAAGTACGTTCTAATTGGTAATGCAGATCAATGCCATGAATTTGAAACCAACTTGTAGATGACTCTCCAGTGGATGTTCGGAGGCTATAGATCTCACAGGAGAAATATGTTCATCTTTTTTCCCCAGGAGCTACCTTTTGGGTACCATTGAAACTCTCTTACAGACTACTCCATCAGTTGTTGTTGTTAGGTGCTTTCAAGTCAAGTACAACTCATAGCAATCCGATGAACAACAAATCTAAACCTGCCCTATCCTGTACCATCATCATCTCTGGTGTACTTGAGCCCATTGCTGCAGTTACTTTGTCAATCTATGTAATCGAGGGTCTTCCTCTCTTTTGCTGACCTGCCACATTTCCAAGCATGATGTCCCTCTCCAACGAATAGCTTCTCCTAGCAACATGGCCAAAGACTGTGAGATGAAGCTTTATCATCTTTGCCTCCAAAGAGCATTCTCGGTGCACTTTCTCCAAGACCTATGTATTTATCTTTTGACAGTCCTTTTATTCAGTATTCTCCAGTACCACAGCTCAAAGGCATCAGTGCTTCTGTCCTCTTACCAGAGCTCCCTCTAATTGGCAAAGTAACATCAAATCAAAGTTTACTAACATGTCATGCTATGCAGTATACTAAATTCTGACCCAGCATTATCTTACTTAGTCTTTATAGAAACCTTAACTTACAGATATAAAAAATACGTTTTAAGGAGGTTAACATGCCCAGAGGGATCTTGGTGGCTAGTCTGTAGGGACTTACTCTGCTTTAACCCAAAGGTTAAACTGCTCTCCTTCAGTTCAAATCCACCAGCCTCTCCAGGGGAGTGAGATGGGCAATCTCTCTCCTCCCACACAACTGATAGCCTCTCTGAAACCCAGTGGAGGGTCAGATGTGACCTGGTTCAAACTTGACAGCCATTTTTTTTAGAAGTACGTGTTTAGGGTTACACAGTTTGAAAGTGGCAGAGCTGGAATTACAAAGTACACCTGTGCTTATGACACTTTAGGGTCTGTGTGCAGCAGGTGCAATACAACAATGTAAAAGAATACAATGAATGGTTTTTTAAGATGAGGCTTAAAAAAATGACACACAACTATATAAACTTAATAACACATTTCTTAATTGGTGTTGAGATGTCACCATCTAAACTCTAAGCCCTGGAATACTGTGCTCTGACAATTTTTATGAGTTTTTTCTGATCATTATGTAGCATTTCCTTTAATTAAATTTGCATACCACCTGTAATTAATAAAATGATAATGAGGAGTAGGTGGCAGATTATCAAAGAAAGTATCGGAGAGAATTATGACTGAATTGATCACAAACTTGGCAACAAAACTGCCAAATATAGCCTTGATGGCAAAGCATTATAACTCTAGTTTAAGAATGAGAGTGTATGCTCCTAACACTTCAGTTAATCTTGTTGTAGAAACAAATCAGTCTAATAAATAGTATTTTCAGATATAATTTATTGGTATAGGCCATTAACTTTTTATCTACTCATATTTTATTCTCAGGTGTCTACTATGACTCATCATGTTCTCAGAAAGTGAATCATGGTGTTCTGGTAGTTGGCTATGGTAATCTTAATGGAAAAGACTACTGGCTTGTAAAAAACAGGTAAATACAGGGATGTTTTTGTGTATACTTAATTAAAATCAGGAATTTGAGGGGGCCTCAGTAATACTTGTTATTATGGTAATGATGATCATGATATTAACTGATAAATATTTGTAGCTTCTTATCATGTAACATACTATATTACTCAATACTCGCATTTTTTCACTTCCTAGTATGCCTTTCCATCTTCCTGGACCATTTAATATTCTTCCTAAAGCATCCTTGATTATACCAACTCAAAGTTTGAATTTGTTCTTTAGTTCCTTGAGCTTAAGAAATGTTGTACGAGTTCGGCCCTTTTGATTTTCTGACTCCAACTCCTTGCACATTTCATTGTAATATTTTGCTTTGTCATCCCGTGCTGCCTTTCGAAATCTTCTATTCAACTCTTTAGTATCTTGAATTCTTCCTTCTGCTTTGGCTTCTCTGCGCTCCAGTGCAATTTTCAGAGTCTCTTCTGACATCCATGTTGGTCTTCTCTTCCTCTTCTGTCTTTGCAATGACTGTTTGCACTCTTCCTGGATGATATCCTTGATATCCTCCCACAACTCATTTGGTCTTCACTCATTAGTGTTCAAGGCCTCAAACCTGTTCCTGAGATGGTTCTGAAATTCAGGTGGGATAGACTCAA